GTATTTGCCGGCATATAAGACGACTTTTTTGCCCTGAAAAACATGCCTCCAATTGGGGGGGGTCGTCTTATATGCCGGGTCATCTTATACGCCGGCAAATAGTAATTGGGAAGCACTGAGGCTGCCCACGGCTGAGGCACTTTTGCGCACCGTGGAAACGAATCCCGTGAAGCCGAAAGGAGCAGCCAGCCTTCTCCCAGCTCCCAAGGAAACGAGGCTCGCACCGCCCGAGCTCCGCTGAGGTATCCGGCTGGGGCTGTCAGGAGTTGTTACCGCTGGCGTGGCTCCGCGCGGCTCCAGTCCCGCGTTGCCTCGGGAAGGGAAAGGCAAAACCAGGAGCCGCTGCTGCCATTGCAAAGCGCCGCCGCGGCTCTTCCTTTTTGCCTTTCCCTTCCCGAGGCAACGCGGGACTGGAGCCGCGCGGAGCCGCGCCAGCAGTAACAACTTCTGACAGCCCCAGCCGGATACCTCAGCGGAGCCCGGGCGGTGCGAGCCTCGTTTCCTTGGGAGCTGGGAGAAGGCTGGCTGCTCCTTTCGGCTTCACGGGATTCATTTCCACGGTGCGCAAAAGTGCCTCAAAAAAAAAAAAAGTGCAAAAGTGGAAGGCGTGCGGAAGAGGGGGTGAGTATATAACAAACTATATTTTGAGTGGAAATGTTGGGGGGTCGTCTTATACGCCGGGTCGTCTTATACGCCGGCATATACGGTAGTCGTACTTTGTTAAATGAATCTGGCTTCCCCATTGATTCTGCTTGTCAAGAGGGTCACAAAAGGTGATCACATGACCCTGGGACACTGCAACTGTCATAAATATGACTCCATTGCCAAGTGTTTGAATTTTGATCATCTGACCATGGGGATGCTGCAACGGTTGTAAGTATTACTAACACTTACTAACAATAGGAACTCTCATTGCTAAGTGGCATAGTCATTAAATGAAACATCAAGCGACCATGCTGGCTTACAACATCAGTTCCGGCTGCAGTTGTTTAGCGCATTACTGTGGATCATTAAGTATGAAGTCATGTGAACACAACTGGTGACTCCTGCTGGGGTTCCCCATTGACTTTCCTTGTTGAAAGCCAGCTACAAAGGTCGCAAATAGTGTTCACAAGACTGTGGAGATGCTGCAACCATCATAAATGTTCACTGGTTGCCAAGTGCCTGAATTGCAACCATATGACTATGTGGATGCAATTTCAAGAAGCTGTTGTAAATCTCCTTTTCAGTGCTGTCGTAACTTTGGTTGCTGAACAAGTAGTCGGTAAGCAAGGACTGCCTGTATCACAACATGTGCCTTCTTTACTCCATCTCAGTTCACTTCATCTAGTCCACTTTAGCATACAATACCATATTTTTCGGAGTATAAGGTGCACTTTTTCCACCCCCAAAAGTGGGTGGAAATGTCTGTGCGACTTATACAACAAATGTTGCCGAAGCCCCGCCCACCTGCTGCCCCCCATCCTTCGGCCTCTGCCTCCCAGCAATTTCCCTTCTTGCAGCAAACAGCCTGTTTCAGCTTCAGCACAGCCTGATTTAGCACAAGCAGCTGATTGTCGGTAGGATCGGCCTCCCAACGATCAGCTGTTTCAGGATGCAGGGATTGCCATCGCCTATTGCTGCCACCGTGCACCCCATTTTCAGTCTCTATATCGGATTTTTTGCCTCCGCGCATCCTGTTTTCCCCCTGTTCCAATCCCCGCTGCCCAGAACGATACAAAAACGGGGGGCGCGGAGGCTGAAAATGGGATACGGAGGCTGAAAATGGGGCACACAGTGGCAGCAATAGGCAATGGCAATCCCTGCAGCCTGGGCAGATTTTTTTCCTTGTTTTCCTCTCCAAAAGCTAGGTGCATCTTATATTTCGGAGCGTCTTATACTCCGAAAAATATGGTGTCTTGTATTGTGTATTTAATGCAGCCAGTGGAACTCCAGTGAATTCTCCAAGCCATCAGGCTATAGAGAAAAGAATAGAAAATAATTATAAAAATATTTCAAAAAGAAACGCATGAAATATGCAATAAACTAAAGTTTCTAAAAAAAAGGATTCTACATGATTTGAAGTACATCTTAATTTGTGACACTGCTGTTTGTCACACCCTATCACACAGACAATATGGCATTGCAAACTTCAGTTAAATCTAAGTCAGAACAATGCACGGGCTGGAAAAAAAAACACTGCAATTTGGATCATTCAGTGCTTCAGCTACGAAGTGAGATGATTCAACAATCTTTATTTTCCCATCTGTGTAGGAAAAAAAGCCAATAAAATTGTGAGTCTTCAGCAGCAACACAGTAACCCTGCAAACATCTTGCATGTGATTGATGTCTCACTTAGCAGATGTCTTACTGCTTGTTGGACATGACAGGACATATTTTATTGGTCTATTAATATATGCCTTTGATGTCTGTGATAAAAGGGGTTAGAATAAATGGACCCATAAAATGCATTATATTTTATTCAAATTCCACAGTAAACCATGTTTAAATGAAAAAAAAAAAAGAGGGCTCCATCCTTATACCACGAAATATACCTTATAGGGAAAATTAAATGTGAAAGGACAAAGAAAAATGAAATGAAGATAGATAATAAAAGAGCGCAGCTTTCTCTTATTACACTATTATTTTGAGGTAAACTTCAGCTGCAAGCTGACCTTTGTTCTGTTCTGTTTTTTACCACTCAATCTTTTCTCCATTCTTTTTCAGACAATTACAGAAACACATTAAGGAATCTAGCTTTGTCTGAAAGGGCTCCGACAGGTATTACAAAGATAAAAGATAGAACTATATAGAACTTCCAAAGAGATGGATACAGGTTGTCCTTGACCTACAGCAGAGGTGTCAAACTCGATTTCAATGAGGGCCGCATCAGGGTTGTGTTTGACCTCAGGAGGCTGGGGTGGGCGTGGCCAGCTCGATATCACTTGTGTCCACAAGTGCCTCTGCCAGCAAAAACGGGCTCCCGAGATCTGTTTTTGACTGCAAGAGCTCTGCCAAAGAAAACGAAGCTCAGGAGGGTCCGTTTTCACTGGGCAGAGGCACTGCAGGCCGGTCCTTTGCTGTTTCCAGGGTGGCCCTGCAGGTCATATCTAAGCACCCCGCAGACTGGATCCGACCCATGGGCCTTGAGTTTGACACCCCTGACCTACAGTCACACCTAAGTCTGGAATTTTATTTGTACATTGTTGTGGTTGTTAAGTGAGGCACCACATAGTAGACTGGATGTCATGATGACTTTGATGAGGGTCATTAAGCAAGTCACAACAGTCATTAAGCTAATCCAGCACTTTCAATGGGTGTTTTTCACCATTTTGTTGGAAAATGTGTGTGTGTGTGTGGGGGGGATTCAAACCCTGATCACATGACCACAAATGATGTTTAATGGTGCCAAGCACCTGAAATGCAATCATGCAAATGTGCCCAGATGTATATCTGGAAGTTGTAACTTCAAGGTTGTGTTGTACATAGCTTTTTAAAAATCCAGCTTGGTTTTGAATAGTCATTAAATAGCACTAAATTTAGACTTATATACCGCTTCACAGTGCTTTACAGCCCCCTCTAAGCAGTTTACAAAGTCAGCATACTGCCCCCAACAATCTGGGTCCTCATTTTTCCCATCTCGGAAGGATAGAAGGCTGAGCCAACTTTGAGCCTGATGGGATTCGAACCGTCGAACTGCTGGTTATCAGCAGTCAGCAGAAGTAGCCTGCAATAGTGCATTCTAACCCACTGTGCCACCATGGCTCTTAAGTCATGTGAATGCCACTGGCAACCTTCCCAAGTGCCTTCCAAGGAGACAGCCTTATACAGGTAGTCCTCAACTTACAACCATTTGTTTAGTGACCATTCAAAGTTACAACACCACTGAAAAAGTGACTTATGACTACTTTTCACACTTATGACATTGCAAAACCCCCATGTTCATATCATCAAACTTTGGGTGCTTGGCAACTGGCATGTATTTATGACAGTTGCCCTGTCCCGGGATGATTATGTGATTACCATTTGCGAACTTCTGACAAACAAAGTCAATGGAGGAAGCCAGATTCACTTAAGAACTGCAGTGATTTGCTTAAGAACCATGTAACAAAGGTTGCAAAATGGGGTGTGACTTGCTTAACAACTTCCTTAGCAATAGAAACAAAATTCTGCTGAATGGTGGTCATAAGTGGAGGACTACCTGTATTTACAAATACAAAACATACCAAGAAAAAGAAAAGAGATGTTTTCTATAATTAGAGCATCTGACTGATAGAGCTATGCTCTGAAAAGGTATTGTAATGACCCGGAGCGTAACACAAACGTAACAAAATCCAAAACGTAAATAAATGTCCTTTAATGCCTCCAACTTGGCCCCACTGTTCAATAATTCACAGTTGGAGATAAAACTTATTCAGAAATAGTCTTTAAAAGAAAGCAATACAGTCCAAACTTAATGAGCAGATAGAGGTGAAATAAAAAACTAAAACAAACTACAATGAAGGAATTTCCACAACAGACCAGGATAAGTAATTACTAACTTCAAGGAGATAACAAGGCACAGTCTGTTGGAAGGACACCAACCAAGATAACTTCAGCCCAAAATAAAACACACTTTGCTTCTGGCAACGCTGTGTTGTCACCGTCTCTCTTACATACTATTCTCTCCAACTGCAACTAATGAGGGGGATCATGGCCGCTTCCTCTCTTGTAAGCCAAGTTGTTTCCTTCTCCATTCCTCTCTGCGTGTCCTAGGATGAAGAGGGGATGGGCCTGGTTCTTCCTTTGACTGCCCAACCGGCTTCTGCCCTTCTCCAGCCTCCTCCAGAGCCACACCTCCACTCCCTGTCGGCTGTTCCTCCTCTCCCTCAGAGTCCGACTCTACCAAGGGCATGACAGGTATGTACTAATAATTGTAACATGAAGGGAAGTTTTGACTCAGATTAACCCAAGCTTTGTTTTTTAACATAAGAGGAAGAAAGTGATATAAACACAAGTGCGTTTGTGAACTATTGATTTACCTTTCCCAAGCTTGAATTTTCGTAATATATTCCTTGTATTAAGTCTCCAATGGCACTTGACATTATCTCTACCACCTGAAAGAAAAAGAACAAGTTTCCAGCAAGATAATTACACAGTTATTAAAGGATGCTAAACTAAGAACACAGGGAGGCTTAAATAAAAAAGCATCTGAATCCTGAAGGCACATTATATATAGGTATATTTTTTAAAAACTAAATTTCAAATTAATTTTAAAAAAGTAAAGCACTGTTTTTTTTATTTATTAAAATGAAGAGTTCTCAAATTGTAGGTTGATACCCCCCCAAGGGGACTATGAGCAATTTAGAGGCCAAAAAAACAACAACACAAAATCAGGCTTTGTGCAGGCATAATGGGAATATTGTCAAAACTCACCCTATGGTTGGTTCCTTATTTTGTCTGAACAAGCCCCAAGTGGGCAGCTGCTATATTACAAGGCTGTATGATGTATAGATTAAAATTTAATTATTAAAATCAGTTATATTTATTTCTTGCCCAAACCCAACACCAATAAAGTATTAGTTTTATTCATGGGGGAGTTTTACACAAATACATCTTAGTGGGTTGTGGTACTACAAAGTTAGAAAACCACTATATTAAAATATAAATTAAATAAGCTACCAGGCATACAGAGATCATAACAACCTTCTGAGAACTATTAAAAATTCAGCCTGTTACACCTAATATGTTTGTTTTTAAACCCAAAGCAGTTAATCTTTATAACTCAATTCATATTCTAGACACACGGTATTTGGATTTAGCAGCCTATCCCTGAAAAGACATTGACTTGTGCACAAAAAACTTTTACCAACATGGAATTGTTATTTAGCAAGCTATTATCTTTAAGGTTCTCAGGTGTTCCCATTAAAAATTGAATAGAATCCAAAATAAAAAACAAACATAGTTTCAGCTAGATTATGGTCTCACTGGAAATAGTATAAGAAATCGGACCTCTGATTATTAGCCCCCTTTGCTAGAATAGTATTGGAGAATTCAGAGCAATATATTTAATATATACCTACCTTACGGCTATCCTGCCTGCTATAGGTTTATTCTTCCATGATTAATTTCCTAGGTATATGGGTCTATATCAAATTCTCCCTCCCTCTTGCCTAAAATGGTGTCCATTTATTATTGAATTACGAGTATTCAGTTTCAGGTTTTTATCATTCTTGCAACTGAAGCCAGTATGGAAAATAAAGGCCCAAACGTTACTTCTATAAACCTCTTAACATTCTCGATGACAATTACAGCTTCATATATAAGCCTTCCCTCTACTCTATTATGTTTAGATTAAAACCTTAGGTATGAAAGAAAGCCACACTGAGCCTTATATAGTTTACTTCTAAGTAAACATGCACAGCAGTATACTTTTGATTTCTTAAACAAACATGCTTAGCAAGACACCTTTGCAAATGGAACCAATTAATCTTTTTTTTTTTTTTTAATGATGCACGGGAATTAATTTCTAAGTCTCTTTAAGAACAGCCTCCTTTTCAGAGAGAAAATTTGCCTTGCCCTTTCAGTAATCAGATACTTAAGGAAATATTGTAGCAATCTGAGCTGCAGCAGAACTGAAAGGACAATGATCCTACAGTGTTAACCCAGATGTGTTGAGTTATTTAAGTGGGGAACGGAGAAAATGAGGGACTTTTTGGGAAGGTATCAGATAAGCCTTATGCCCAAATCCAGGAGGATTGTGTATCGCCAATGGGTCTATGAAAGCCTGTAACCAAACACTCAGTGTCAGATTGTATTACGGTTTATACAAGCAACATCTCAAGATTCCTCTGATGGCCGAGACACATAATACAGATCAATCACTCACTAAAAAATATTATGGTTTGTGAAACGGTTGGAGCCCAGAGACATGGCAGTAATATGAAGAAGAAGAATTTACAAAGACATTGAGTCCTACCTCTAAATGTCAAAGTGATAGTATGAGCTTTAACAATGCACCTAGCTGTGAATAGCTAGAGCTGCCCCTTCTCTGAAATTCTAGACAGAACTTGACCCAGAGAAAAGATCCTTTATTTTAATCAACACACATGGAAGCAAATTCCATGCTATAGTGATTTTGGAGAGAATAAATTCGTAGAAGAACCTAAGGAAATCTTTTTTTTTTTTTTGTACAATTATAGTATGACTTTCCTATGAATGAGTAATAGAGGCCCTATAAAGTGCCTACCACTTTATTAACTTACTGGCAAGCTAAATTCTAAATGATACAATTATGTCTTGACCCATAAGAGCCCTTTATTTAGATTGGCAAATGCTTTCAGCTTCACATGTTAACACTGTCCTCCCCAAATTTAACTCCCTATAAAGCATTCTCTGAAGTGAAATCGGGTGATTTTGCTTTGTGTTATTTGACAAGAAATTATACATTATTTAAAGGCCTGGTGTTTAAGATGTAACACAAGAACTACCCAGGCTTTGGTTCGATTTCTGAGGAAATTATCTTCGGAAATGGGTGATAACTCAGTGGTAGAATATATCACTCAGATGCAAAACAATACAATCCCAGGCAAAAGAGTACAATCCCAGGCTTCTCCAGTGCCTGAGAAAACCTCCTCTGTAAATTATTAAAGATGATGTTAAATTTTGGTTGGTTTCTAGTTGGTATTCAGTATACAGGGATATCTGAGATTGCAGCAACAATTTCCAAGTTTTTAACTCTCAGGACAAAAATGTTAACAAATATATGCATGTCAGAAAAAAAAAACCTTAGAAGCATTTTAGGGTTACAAAAATTTGTCCTTGACTCAAGATAACTTAACCTGTGTTAAGTTGAATCTCACTTTTGGGTGATTCCATAATAACACTATTATGTGGGAACACATAAAACTGCTTTTTGAAGCTGCACATTTAGATGGTGATAGATAATTCTGGATAAACTGTTTTTAGGGAATCATTTATCCTTTTACAGAGAAATCCTCAGTGAGTCTATTAGATTTTCTGATTCTTCTTCCTTGGTAACTTCCTTTTGGACTTTAAACTGTGTCAGTTGGCATGTTAATCCTTTTTTCTGTCATGAACGCAGGGCAAGCATCTGCAGTAAACAGCCTCTATGGACTGTTATTATGACAGTTCATTAGATATTCCTAATGTATAATTGAATCAAGAATTAAGATATTTTACAACAACATTGTAAATGACACTGTAGGGATTAATACTTTATCACTACTTGCTTATGATTTGTTGTTTTAATTATTTTAATATCCTATTATATATTTTTAAAACTTCGAGCATGTATCTCTAGGCTGTCATTTCAAAGGGGAATGATCTCTTTAAGTTTAGTTTATTAAAGCTCATTCACAAAGGAGACATAAATCAGCTGGTGGATACTCAAAGCCGTTCCCTGGTCCACAGAGGGTTAATTTATGGATTGTGTACAAAATGTCTTAAAGTCAGTGATCTATGGTTCAAAATTTCTGAAAATATCCCTTGAAAACAAAACTCTTCCTCATTTACTATTTGTTTTGCCTCTATCCAAGTTCCCTGGTCATAAGTAAATGGAAGAAAAAGACCTTCACAATGACATCTGTCTGGGACAATACTTTTCAGCCTTCTTGGAAATAGAGAATTTGATATGTGCCCATATCCATATTGGTAATGCAGCTCAAGGCAGTAATGTATCAGATATTCAGTAAGTATGTGAATTATAAGATTAGTATTAAACTGCTGAAATAAATACTGCCTTATGTCTAACGATTTTACAGGAAGTTTCATCTACATAAAGACTTTTTTTCCCTACCATTACTTCCTATCATGGCAATATAAGTTCTACTCTAGGGGCCAATGAACTAAATCAAGACTAATGTTTTCCATTAGCAGATAGAAAGTATGTTATGTAAATAAACTCACTGGGTAAAACCAAATCTGGTTTAATACAGATCAGTTTCATGAGAACACACTTTTCTGTATAGTAGCAGCATTTAAGGAGTTATATCTCCTTAAAAATCTCCCCATCAATGCATGTTTTGTATCATTAAAATCTGCATGGGATGTTGTTCATGGCATAGAACACAGCACTTGTTGTTACTCAACACAACTTGTACAAAGCTCACTACAGTTATGGTTCTGATCTGCAAGACATACCAAACATCTGTTCTATTTCTTTCTCTCCCATTTCTATTCATTGAAAATAGAAACAAATAGACTCAAATTCTTGCCAGCATGACATGTGTAACTGCACTTTCTTGAGTGACATTTATACACTTGGTTTATTTTTCTGCAGAAGATTTTGTTTGAAATTTTGTAGAGTTTTCAGAATTCTGTTTAACTGGAGCACCTTCCCTATGCAAACCACTTGAATTAGCATCCGTTTTGTTGACTTGTTCAGTATGTAAGACATCACAATGGATTCAGTGATAAGGTCACCTGAGACCAAGCAAAGTAGGAAGACAGTTGTGTGAATTCACAGATCATCACTTAAAGTGCTTCAGCTATGGGTAAGTACCCAGTTTTTTACTTAAATATGCTCCCTATGATTCAGATACATGGGTGCATAGCAATTTTCTTACCTGTAATAGGTCTGGTTCTCATAAGGCAGGGGTGTCAAACTCACGTCATCACGGCAGCGTCACGTGACATATCAGGACTTTCCCCCACTTCGCTAAACCGGGTGTGGGCATGGCCAGCGCGTGACACATCCAGCCTGTGGGCCAGGAGTTTGACAGCCCTGTCATCAGGTAATGAAAGAGAGAGCAGTTCTTCTAAAGGCAGCATCAAATTGGGAGCAAATATACAAGGTATGGGATGAAGATTTACAGCTAAGCCCCGGGGACTACCCAGCATTCCTGGTAGAGGAATATATCAGAGATAAGCTGCTGATGTTATTCTTGTTCATGTGGAGCCTGGTTATTTGACCAGCTCATGAGATTTTTTTTTTTGGGGGGGGGGATGGGGGGGTAGAGAAAGAGACAGACCATCAAATAGACTTTGGAGGGCAAGAAAGAAAGAGAGGTGGGGGGGAGAGAGAAAGGAAGGAAGGAAGGAAGGAAGGAAGGAAGGAAGGAAGGAAGGAAGGAAGAAAGAAAGGAAGAAAGGAAGA